CTACAAAATAGGTAAAAGTGTGTGACTTGCACTGTTACAGTAACGGGTCAATATCGGTATCGGTCAATATCGGTATCGGACATTTCTCAAAGTTGTAATATCGGTATCGTATCGGAAGTGAAAAAGTGGTATCGGGACATCCCTAATACTTTGTAAGGTTAATTTTACTATCGTTGGACAGTCATCCATTAAGTTTTTATTTTAAATAAACCACATGTGAAGACTTAAACAAAAACATTCACAGTAAATCTTTTGAAATAAATTGCAGTAAACGGATATAAAAATTTTTTTTATAGTTAAACGGTTAAAAGTAAATGTTTGATTTGACACCGATGGTTTGAGGGTAAAATGAGTGTTTCCTGAACTATTCTTTTGTTTTGAACAGACTGGCATTTGAAGTTATATAACACTATTTACAAGCACAGTAAAGCAGTGCTACTCACATTTGGGTGGAGAAGAAGGGTAGTCGTCTTTGAACAGCATTCTGAGTTTATACAGTCCTCCTTCCCATAATGTCTAATAAATAAAGGAGAAATAAGAGCTTTAGCAAACAGAAAACAAAGAAGACTTCTAAACAGTATTTCCAAATCTTTTTCTAACAAACACAGAACCACATTATTTAAGAAGTAATCAGTAAATGCTTAAAATCTCTAAAACTGAGAGATGTTTCCTCCCTAAATGATCAAAAAATGCTTAAAAATAAAACTACTATTTTGAATTTTGATGCAGGCAAAAGTGAAAATGGTAAACAGGAGTTACTTTATTTGAAATTCAAAATTTTAAAAAATGTAATTCACAAAGAGGTTGTTCAACTGAAAGCTTTCCATGAGTTTTACGTTGTTAGATACACTCCTTAATGAGTGGCCTCCACAATCAAGACTACAGTCAGACATGAAAACAAAACCCGGGCTCTGGATCAGATTTTCTAAAACTTTTGAACGTGTGACCCCACAAAATACCAGAAGACTGATTTGTGCTCCTGAACCAGGACATTTCTTTTGGAAGGGTGGGAGGTATTATGCAAATAGATTTTTTTGAGCCTCATGTTATATCATAGTTGATTTTTCAGTAACAACTGTCAGTCATTCATTTTCTTTTTATTCCTGGTGAGCATCTCATAACACCTGACTAGGGTTGGGTATTGAAAGGGTTTATTTCGATACCGGTGCTAAATCCATACTTTCAAAACGGTACCGGTTCCTAAACGGTATTTAAATTGGTACTTTAAAAATAAATAAATAAAACACACACAACTCACACAGAGTTTTATGAAGCAATGATTATTTCTGAAGCAAAGTCAAACTTGAAATTGACCAACATATTAACTTAAAACTAGAAAACATTCAAAAAAAATTAAAAAATTTCATGTTTTATTTTATCTAGTGCTAAATATTCAGTTTTTATTTGTATATTAATCAGATTAATATATATTT